AGCAACGCGGCTCTTCGGGGCCGCCGGCGAGCAGGATGGGCAACTGTGCTTATGGATCCCAACGGACCTGACCCACCCGTTGCTGGGCATGGCGCTGTTCAGCCTGCCATGCCTCAGACGTCTGCGGTTGCAGAATGCATGGGGCTTGCTAGCTGCGGTCAGGTCGCGGACAGGCCCACCAAGATGCACGTCGATTTCTTCGGCGCAGCACGCGCTGCGAGGAGAGCGCCTGGATGCCAGAGAGAATCTCGCTCTGCGCACGCGCGAGCGCAGGTGTTCGGTCAATCGCCCCCCGGGCACGCGCGCCTGAGCGCCGCCGAGCACGTGAAAGCACACCGCGCGAGCGCGCAATATCAGGAGCAGTCTGCAGCAGAGTGTAGAATCACATATGCGAACATTGCAGCATATAGTTGTGCAAAGCAGGCCGTGCTCATGCACCCGACTGCTAGCCGCGTCCTTGCAGAAGGTCGAGGATGACGCAGCGGCGACAGGGGACTTCGTTCGCCTTGCTGCTGCTACACTCCCATGCGGAGGAGTAGGAATGTAAGGAAGGAGGGGTACCACGACTGGTGTCGTAGTGAGTCATGCGTGCAATGCCGATGGAGTCCTGCTGGTTTACAGGATTATCCTCGTGATTGGCCTTTGACGGGTTGCCGAGGGACCCCCGTTTTTCTGCGTGCTTATTTCGCTCGGCCGAACGGCCGCGCTCTTCTTGCCTTCTTGCCGCCCACCAGTCTGGGCAGCGGTGCGAGTCGAATTCTGGAGCAGTTGACCGTCCAGTGTTTATGTGTACCAAGTGCGGCGCTTGGGCCCAGCAGCGTCGGATACAGAAGCTTAGTGCCCCTTTGCATTAAGCCGACGCCCAAGGGTATTGAAATCCTACGGAACCTGCGCAAGGGCGTCGGGCATCATCGTAAGTTGCGAATGCAGATAGCATGTGCGAATCCAGCCGAGAGAGTATTGCCCACACGTCGTGGGCCTTGTTTCGAGACCACCAGCGTTTCGTCTCGGCCTGATCCGAAGTCGGAGCGCGGCTGCGAGTCAAGGATGGCCGCCCTCCGTGAGCGCGTGCGCCAGAGAGAGCCGGCGCGAGCGAGTGACGGCTCAGCAGGTGGCGTAAGCGGCAGTGGGCAAGGTTAAGACCGCCCAGTGGGCGCCGCCCTGCTAGGGCCACCAGAAACGTCCAGCGACAGGTCCGCCTCTGGTCGTGTTTTTCCTCCTGTTTCTTCTTTTCTTTCTTCCTTTCTATTGTTATGTTTATTTCCCCTGTCTGTCTGTCCGTCTTTCTTTTTCTTCCCCCTGTGGCCGCTCCGTCTGTCTCCTTCTCTCCTCCTGCATGCTGGACACTTCGCTCCCCGGAGACCCCGAAGTGCTTACCGCTGATGCAGTCTACCTTTGCCTCGCCGCTGACGGAAAAGTGTTCAGCGGGCGCGTTGGTTCGAGCTGGTTCGAGCTGGTGCAGAGGGCCGTTCGGTTGCGGTGTGTTGGTGGTGCTATGGGAATGCGTAGGACTCGACATGCGCTGAGCACACGTTTCATACTGTGGGAATCATAGGAGCGGCGCCACAGCCGTAATGTTCAACGTTCGAACCACAACCGATGTGGGCAGGGCTGGGATTGCGAGGTATAGCCAAGACGTTGAAGTAGGGACCGCGTTCTTGGGCTCAGGACGATCCTTATTCAGTGTTGCATATGGTAACACGACGATTGTAATAATGGCAGGTAAGGGGAGGGACGAAGGGAAGATGCGACGAAAATCATCAGGGTCTGGTTTGGTGTGTCCGCGTGGCGAGTACAGCGAACCCGCATGGGAAGAATGAGCAAGTTCCCACGGCTTCCCTTGCATCCTTGTCCCCTCGGCCCATCCTTAGCGGCTGTCGGTGGCCAACTTCGTCAGAACAACGTGAACATGGCCCTCCGAGGCCCTTGCCTCCTTACTGCGCGTCCTTATTATACTGGTCGACTGTAGGCCCCCTTATGTCATGATGTTGTTCGCTATGCTGCTCGCGCGCGCGGAGAAGTCGGGCCTTCGAACGACGAGCCTCGACCAGGCCCTTCATGCCGAGAGCCTCGATCGGGGATCGGGACGATCGGAACGGGTATGGAAGCAACGGGTACAGTCCAGCAGCAGTTCTTGTTAATTTTGGACAGGGCTCGCTGTCGGTGTCGCCGCGGACGGTGTCCATTTGAGACAGAAGACCGGCTGCCCAACAGCGGCCGCTGTTGGTTTTGGGTAGCATGTGTTGTCCGGCATTGTACCCATTTTGCCCATACGCATTTCGCACGTCCAAAGGGGATTTTTCCGAGAGCTTCGATCAGACCCGTGGTATCCACAGATGTTGGCGTTCTTTTTGGGAATGGACACCTTAATCAATCATGCGCACGATGATATTGTGGTCTTTAGCGTTTTTTTCCGTGCATCACGCGTGGGCAGTCTTGAGTTCAGGCAGATAGATCCATCCCACCGGCCGTTATCCCTGCTGTTATTGCATCCTTCTCTGCTTCCATCCATTTGTCCTATCTCGACATATACCTATTTGTACGCATAAACCTGTGTGGAGGGAAAAGAGAAAGTGTGCATGTGTGTGAGTCGTATCGCTTTCTGGTTATGCCTCTCTTTTTGCGTCTGTACATACATGTATTCATGTTCTTTTCCCAATGAACATATTATTCATTGATGTGTGTATATATCTACATATATGTCCCTCTATCTCTCTTTCTCCACCCGCTCTCTATGTTTATACATATATGCATCAGTTTCTCTCTCCATCTCTCCACTTCCCTTCTCTCCGTCCCACTTATCTTACCTTTGTCTCTCCTTCTATATGTGTATACGCATAGAAACAAGCCCTAACCCGCTATATTACACACACACACACACTCTCTTTCCTCCCCACTCCACCCCTCTCCCTCTCTCTCTGATTCCGTCTCGTCCTCTCTCTCTCTCTCTCTCTTTCTCCCCCCCCTATCCCTCTCTCTCCGTCGCTCCCTCCCTTCCCTCCCTTGCTTTCGCTCTCTCGTTCTCTCTCTCTATATATATCTTTTTCTCGCTGTTCCTCCCTGTATGAATATCATTAATACACATTGCTCATGAGATCGAGTCCGTCATACGCCTCCCTCTTTGACGTATTCCCTTTATGCTGTAAAAAACGTGTGGACTTACGCGCACTGTCTTTATCTTAAGCCGTCTCCTTCCTGTGTTCCGGTTCCCGTCACTGGTTCAAAACGTAGTTCTTTGTCCCGCGGACTCGTCTCTTCCTGTGCACTATCCCGCTGGCCTTCGGTCCATCCCGCCACCGCGCCCGGGTTGTAGATCCGAGGCCTCGCGGGAGCATCGTGTGCGTGGATTGGGGGCCGCTCGGGGGCCCCCCGGGGTTCCTTGGGGACCTCTTGGGGGGCACCTGGGGCTTCTCGTCGGGACCTGCTGGCGGTTTCGGAGATCATCTTGTGGTGGGGGGCTCTCGACATGTCAGTTCGCATTCCCCCTGTTGGGGCCTTCTTGGGCCGTCTTGGGGGCCTCTTGGGCCATCTTCAGACCCTCTTAGGCTGTGGGCCTCCTGGGCCGTCTTGGTGCGTCGGAAGCCCCAAAGGGCGAGGACGCTAAAATCTGGCAACGAGTGTCCGCGCTAACGCTAAAAGGAACTCAAATCATGTTTGCCTCTTTGGGTCCTCTTGGGTGTCCCGTTGGAGCCCTCTTCGAGTGTTTTGGGGGCCTCCTGGGCTGAGGCCCTCCTGGGCTGAGGCCTTCCTGGGCAGGGTCTATGCCGACCCGATCGATCAAGTTCAATGTCGATGCTGGCCAGCCCGATCCGATTTGACTAAGAGATCCCGATGCGGCCTGACGTTTGCATGGCGTCGATGTGCATCCTGCCGCGTCCGAGTCGATCGATTCGATTCCGACTCCTTGCCGATGAGGCCAGATCCGATTTGCATTCCGATTCGACCGGATGTTGTCGATTCGATGATGGCTGATTTTGTTCTGGGTGCTATTGGGCCGTCGCGGGTCCCTCGCGGACCGCGTTGGGAGCCTCGCGGGGCCCTCTTGCTGTCCTGCGGGTCCCCTGGCCTCAGGAGCAGTTGCGCGGCAGCGTGCGCGTGTGTGTGTGAGAGAGTGTGTGTGTGTGTGTGAGTGTGTGTGTGTCATGCTAACACACGTGTAGATATCTTTAAACAGCGAGACAAGGGGAGAGAGAGAGAGAGAGAGAAACAGAGAGAGAGAGAGAGGAAACGAGAGGAAGAGAGAGAGGGGGGGCAACATGGTACAACACAAGAGAATACAAGGGAGATAACATGATATGATTGCATATAAGAGACGAGAGGTGAGGAGGAGAGGAGAGGAGAGGAGAGAAGAGGGTTCCCTCTCCCTTCCCTTTTCCTCCTACGCTTCTCTCTTCTTCCTTCTTCCCCGTCCTCCCCCTTCATCGCCCCTCCCCTCTCTCCTCCCTCCTCTCCTCCCCCCCTCCCCCTCCCCCCTGCTCCCAATGCCCCCCCACCTCGTTCCGACTCCCGCATTCCCCCTCTTGTCCCTCTTCCTGTTGCCCTCTTTCCCCCTTCCTCCCTCCTCTCCCCTTTACCTCCCTCCCTCGTCATCGTCGGCGGCGGTGTGTCTGTCGTCGTCGGCGTCGGCGTCGGCGTCGGCGTCGTCGTCGTCGGCGTCGTCGTCGTCGTCGTCGTCGTCGTCGTCGCCCCTCTCGTCGGCGGCGTCCCTTTCGCCGTCGTCCCTCTCGTCGGTGGCGTCTCTCGTGAAAGGTCAACATCGTCGTCGCCAGCGTCGTGGTCGCCGCGGTCGTCATCGTCATCGTGGTCGTCAACATCGTCATCGTCATCGTGGTCAACATCGTCAACATCGTCATCGTCATCGTCAACATCGTGGTCATCGTCGTCGCCAGCGTCCACGTCATCGTCGTCGTGGTCGCCGCTGTCGCCGCTGGCCGGCGGTCGGCGGTCGTCGGTCGCCTCGGCTGCGCTGAGCGGGCCGCTCGCGCGCCGGCGGCGGCGAGGCGCCCTTCTTCGACCTGATGCTAAGACATATGGAGGACGGGAGGAGGAGGAGGAGGAGGAGGAGGAGGAGGAGGAGGAAGAGGAGGAGGAGGAGGAGGAAGAGGAGGAGGAGGAGGAGGAACAGAAGGAGGAGGAGGAGGAGGAGGAGCAGCAGGATGGGGAGGAGGATGCTAGCGCCACCACGAGGGTGCGGAGGCAGTCGCGATGTTTCCCCCCTGGGGCTGCCCGGGCTCGACCTCGGCAGGTTTGTGAGGGGGGGGGGAGGCGGGCCGCCTTCTCTGCCGGGCGCCTCTCCTTCCCCCTCCTGGTTGTCACGCATCGGCTTTTTGAGCCCTGCTCGGTGGAGGGCTGAAGAGGACACGGAGGACGAGGACGAGGACGAGGACGAGGAGGAGTAGGAGGCAAAGTTGGAGGCGGAGGAGGAGGACGAGGCCGAGGAGGAGGGCGAGGATTCAACATGTTTTTCGCCAGTGTCTGGGGGCCTTGTCGGGCCCCTTGGACCGACGAACGTGAGCCAAGGACGACGCATCTGCCAGGATGGGTCTTTGGAGGGGTTTTGGGGCGGACTTTGGGCGGATTTGCGTCGGCAAGGGGAGGAGAGCAAAAGGAGGGGGGATGGGCACGATGGGCGAATTTTCCACCACCACTACCATAGTTAGGAGAGGGGGGAGGCCGAGGAGGAGGAGGAGGAGGAGGAGGAGGAGGACCTCTCCATTCTCCTCCCTTCTCCCCCCTCCTACCTATGGGAGGTTTGTTGGGGCAGGCTGGTGTTTTGGGTTATCTTTGTGCCTCTGGGGGCGACGCCTCTGTCAGGATGGATCGTGGGAGTGTCTCGGGGGCGGACTTTCGGCGAACTCACGTTGGGATGCAGAGGAGGAGGGATGTGGGCGGCGCTGGGGCCAGGAGAAGTCGCTCCGGAGCAACCTGGAGCTCTCTAAGAGCGTTCCGGAGCCATCTGGAACGGCCGCATCGCCCGATGCATCCTCCAGAACCGCCGTGTCTCAGAGGTTCCCGATTGATCCCAGTTCGATGTTGTCCCTTGTCCTGGCCTCGTCTGCTGGATGGGGGTGCTTGTGTGTTGCTTTGTTTTTGTTGCCTCTGGGAGTGCCCTCGTCGCCATGGCTGGATTCGTATCGAAGTCCTGGTCTGAAGGCGCTCCTGGGCTGGTCCCGCGGACGCTTCAGAGGCGCAGGTGGATGAGGCATCGGAGGGGAGAGGAGGGGCGAAGAGGAAAGGAAGAGGAAGCGGTAGGTGCTCGGCGATCTTCGAAGCTGTTCAAGGGTCCAGGAGGTCTTGGAAGGGTTTGCGAGGAGGAGGAGGCGGAGGAGGAGGAGGAGGACGTCGACGACGATGGCGGTGGCGGCGGCAACGACAACGAGGAGGATGAAGAAAAGGAGGAAGAGGAGGAGGAGGAGGATTTTAAAAGAGAGATGAGGAGACTATCAAGGACGACCCAGAGAGCGAGGAGAAGCAGCGATGAGGAAGAGAGGGAGGAGCAGGAGAAGCAGGAAAGGTAGGAGCATGGTGGAGCACCAGGAGGAGGAGGAGGAGGAAGATTGGCGTCCGAGAGTCCTCCTCGCGTTTCTGCTCGTCCTGCTCCTCCCCCTTCTCTTGGTCCTCCTCGTGTCCACATGTCCTTTCCCTCCTCTCCCTCGCCCACATCTGCCCTCCTGCTTCCCCTCATTCCTCCCCCTCCTCCTGGTCGTTCTCGTAGACGCTGGTATCCTCCTACATCTTCTCTTTTGCTTGTCCCACTCTTCGTTCTCCCTCTCCTCCTGGTCGTTCTCCTGCTCGTCAACTTCGTCCCCCCTACTCGTTATTCTCTCTGTCTCCCTTCTCGTCCTCTCGTTCTCGATCATCCCCGTCCTCCCCGCATGCGTGGCCTCAGTCAAATGACCCACAGCGACGGGATCTGACTGGAGCACTGGTGCCGCGCACGGATGCGGGGTGGCTTGTTCTCAAGAATTGGTTCCCGTCTGAGCCTTCTTCGCACTACGCTGCCCGAGCGTTCTGGGTCACTGGCAGTTACGCGGACGGATGGCAGCCGGCTTCAAAGCGTGGCTTATTTCCTTGAAGTTTTGACAAGAGTGTTTGCCCAATGGCTTTTGGGACTCGCTTCCACAAGCTCGAAGATCCGACAGCTACACGGCGGCGCATTGTTTTCAATATCGGGTTCTCGTTCAAGACGTCTTCATATTGAGTTTAACATTTCCATTTCCCGACAGCCACACTTATTCATGGCGGCTTCTCGTCGAGATCGATCTCTCGCCTGTAACAGATTTCCGTGTTTACTCTCTGAAGTCTTGGAATGGTCAACATATTCACAGATGTAGGGCGGGTTATGTTCGACATCGTATTCTTATTCCCGCACGACGCGCGTGTTGCTTGGAAGGCCTCACCAGTTGGCTCATTGATTTGTTGTCCAACTGGTTGTGCTTTGCCGTGTCATGCCGTCGTATCTTGATCTGATTGTTGGTGCGCATTGCAGAAACGATATGTTTCGCATGTTATTATTTTATCGCTTCGCTCATTCCGCCTGCCCTGGAGCGGTATGTTGGGCCTCTTGGGGCCGTCTTGGGGGCCTCTTGGGGGCTTCTTGGGAGCGTCTTGGAGCTCCTTGGCGGCGTCTTGGGCTCCCCTTGGGCCTCTTAGGGGGCTCTTGGGGGCCCCTTGGGGCGGGAGGGGAGGTAGTCGATTGCAGCCACCCCCTCGGAGGCCACGATCCTCGTGAGGAGTGGCGAAAAATAGCCTTCCCCCTGGGGATCGCCCGGGACCCGGCCGGGATCTGGCTGTGCGAGAGATGGGTCGCCGATGGATCCAGCGGTCAGCCGAAGCCCCCGAGGATCCCAGTTCGGACGATGGATCCTTGTTCGGGGCTAGTTTTGTCGCGCCGCCTCTAGGGCCAACCCATGCCATGCCATACCTCCGCCCCATTGTCTTTCGCCTCTTCTTTAGGGTTTGTCAGGAAGTAGTCTGGGGACGATGTTTAACTATCTTGGTGTATTTTTTTGAATTGGCTTTGACTCTTTGGTGTTTCCTCCAAAATCAGCCTGTAGGGGGACATGCCCGACCCATCAGGAGGGCGCGCTGGGGACCACCACCGACGACAGCGGCCAGCTCTTCGTGGATCGCTCCGGTGGCAGCGGGATGTTCTCTCGCTGGGCTGTGGCTGTTCCTTATTGTGAATTCTGTTTTCGCTTCATCGTGTCTTCGAGCCTGTTTTTCTTCAGATCCGGGCCAGTTTACTTGCGCGGCGTTCGCCCCCCCCCCCCCCCCCTCCGTCAAGCGAATACGAGCCTGCAAGTGCCTCTCGACTTGCGGGGTTTCTGCACATCAAGCTGTTTTCGGCTTGCTTCAGGGTCAGGCCCCCCCCCGTCCATGCAAGTAAACTTGCCCGAATCCAAAAAAAACACAGACTCCTACAGTCGAGCCGAGGCATCATATCGAGGTCGTTCGCAGAGGGTACCGACGTGGTTTTCGTGCCTGTTGGATGATCTCTCGTACATCTTGGGGAGGCTACCTTTGGATGTTCTATCTGTTTCGGCCGACGGAGGGCCACATGTTCTTCAGGGATGTTCTTCTGGCCTGGGTCGGACTGTGCTGCCGAGGGGACGAAGACACGGACTCCGGCGCGTGGAGCAGCGACGGCTCCCGTTTCCACGCGGTGTCGGCGCGCCGCGTCGCCAAGTCGGGCGGCATCAGCGCCATGGTTTGGTGGAGTGCCCCCGTAATCTCCTCGTGCTCCCCCTTTCTCTCGCTCCTCTTCCCTCCGCCTCCACCCTCCTCGCCTCCCTCCTCCGCACCCTCCTCGCCCCTCCTCCCTCCTCCTTCCTCGCCTCCCCCCCCCCTCCTACCCCCCACCCGCTCCTCGCCTCCCTCCTCCCTCCGCCTCCCCCCCCATGGTTTAGCGCCCACGCGCCAGATCCACGGATCCATATTTCATATTAGCGTGCGCCCGATTGTAATGGCTCCTCCCCATGCCTGCTATCGGCGGCGAGCCCAGGGAGGAAGTGAAAAGCAAAAGACTTGACCTGAAGGCTTGGAAGTCCCACGGCCTTCTGAGAGTTCCCTAAGCTTTCCCCGAAGACGCAACCAACTTCACAGAAGGCGCGAGGGCTTCTCATAAGTCCAGATCCCTTCTGATCGGCGGCACCAAAACATACTAATAGTATGTGGGTGTAACCCCCCCAGGGGGCGACGCGCGCACCGGGAAGTCTGATAGTATATGAATCGTGTCGTGCGCCTTCTTGCCGCACCGTTCGGGAAACGATATGCTGCAAAATGGTCATACTAAAGTTTCGGGTCGGACGCGCGCCTCCGAGGAGGACATACAGTACTAGTATGTCTCTGTGCGTCCCATTCTGAGAAGGCCTTCTCCTTCTCGTGTCTCCCCATCGCTCGCCGCCGATGCTATCCTGGTGCGCGCAGCACGTTTCGCCACCATGCCAGGAGGAGGAGGAGGAGGAGGAGGAGGAGGAGGAGGAGGAGGGGGAGTTAGTCTCGACGTCTTCTGCGAAGGACTTCTCCTTCTCACTTTCCCCCCTTGGCTCGCCGCCGATGCTGGCCGGGTGTGCGCGCTGCACGGCTCGCCGCCGTGCCAGCGCGGCATGTTCGCTGTGCTGCGACCCTTTTTCGAGCGGCGCCCGGAGGGCCACGACGTGCGACAGTTCAGGCCCCCGGAGGCCAGGACACAGACGAACCAGGACACGGAAATCCTCCTCCTCCTCCTCCTCCTCCTCCTCCTCCTCCTCCGCCAGGGTCACGTTTTTCAGCACCCTGTGTCCGGGTTTATTCTGGAAATGCTGCAGTGCAGTACTTCGTTCGTGCCGCCGTTTGGAACATTTGGTTTCGAGGGATGTGGGGTGTCCGGGTCTGGTGTGTCCGGGTCTGTGGGGCCCTGAACAGTTCTCTCGCCCAGTGGGCTCCAGGGGGCAGTGTCTTGCTGTTGCGCAGGCTCGAGAGAAAGCCGGACAATGTCAAGCGCCGACCGAAGGGGGGGTGTTCAGGCTCGGGTCTCGAGGGGCTCGGGATTCGAAGCTTTCGAACGTGTTCGTCGGTTCTCGGCTGTTCTCCAGCCTCGGGGTGCCTTCCAGCAGCTGCGCCTCGCCGAGGGCGGTCGGGGGGCGCCCAGATCGCCTTTGTGAGCGGCCGCCGGACGCCCGGGAGCCGTGGCCCGAGCATCGCCGATAGGGGGCCGGATGGCCCAGCCCTCCCCGTGACCCACAAGTCGGCGGCGAGCGCGGGGGGGAAACGCGAAGGAGAAGGCCTTCTCAGAAGGCGGCGCGAGACCTCTCAGACTTCTAAGAGGTTTTTGTGCGTCTTCTCGGGAAGGCTTCGAAAACTTCCCAGAAGGCAGGGGGACTTTCGAACCTTCTGAGAAGGCCTTCTCCTTCTCACTTCCCCCCCTCGCGCCTTCAGCCAGTAAGGCAGCCCGAGTTGGCCTCGAGAGAGGCCCAAGAGGCCCCTGACACAGCCCGAGATGCGCCCAGGAGGCTGCAGACACTGAGGTGCTAGTCTGCCCTGGGTAGTCCTTGCCCCCTGTCGGCGGCGAGCGAGGGGGGAAACGAGAAGGAGAACGCCTTCTCAGAAGGCGGCGGGACTTCTCAGAAGCCCTCGCGCCTTCTGAGAAGCATTGATGGCTTCCTCGAGCATGTGATCGGCGGCGAGCGAGGGGGGAAAGTGACAATGAGAAGGCCTTTTCAGAAGGCTCGGAAGTCCCCCGGCCTTGTGAGAAGCCTCCTAAGCTTTTTTCCGAAGGCACAGAGCACTTCTCCGAAGGCGCGATGGCTTGTGAGAAGTCCCGCCGCCGTCTGAGAAGGCGTTCTCCTTCTCGTTTCCCTCGCTTGCCGCCGACAGGGGACAAGGACTGCCCAGAGCAGACCAGCATCTCAGTGTCTGCAGCCTCCTGGGCGCATCTCGGGTTGTGTCTGGTGCCTTTTGGGCCTCTCTCGAGGCCAATTCGGGCCACCTGATCGGCAGTCATGGCCCTCCTTGGCTGTCATGGGAGCCATCTTGGGAGGTCTCTCGGAAGCTTCGTGGATTCGGTGTTCGGGTGTGCTGGGGGCCTCCCGAGGGTCTTCTTCTTTCAGTGGCGTCTCAGTGCCGCTTGCGGTAGGTTCGCGTCTTGTCGACTGGCGGCGACCCCGCCGCTGGCCTTCCACGTGGAACGCCTCCAGCGACTTGGCATCGGTCGATGTTGAACGATCGACGTTTCGGAAACGGCCGATCGTGCAAGGCTGAAGGGTCCCTGCGGTGTCGGGGATCCCTACGGCGGGGTCGGCGCAAAACGCGAACCTGCCGCACCTGACCCCTGGAGGATCGCAGGGGAGTCGGGCGGGTGGTACACTCCAGGCGATGCTTAAGAAAACCCAAGTTTTCGGCCAGAGTCTCGATTTTTCTTAACGTTTCAATGTAAATCTTAAGAATTCAATGGAAACGTTGGGTTTTTATTCAAGTTCTGAGACTCTGAGTTTCTTAACCCATGATTTCTTAAGCATTTCGCAGGGTGTAATGAGGGGTGACCGAAATGGGGGGTGAATCAGGGGCCCAAAAGAGGGGCCCTCGAGGGCCCCTCTTGGAGAGTCCTGGGGTGCGATCGCTGCAGACCGGGCGCTCACCCGTACGCCCTGGCCCGGCCTCCGGAGAGCAAAAAGTCAGAAAGAGATCATTGCGTTGTCTTTGGGAGTATGCTTTGGGGGTATTTTTTTTCTCGTCGAAAATCCCCCTGTAGTCAAACAGTAGTCAAAAATAGTTCAACAATAGTCTGGGGACTGCTTTTTTTGAGTATCTCTGACCGCTTTAGGGGGTATTTTCGTTGGGGTATTTTTTTTTTGCCAGCGAGGGCCAAGAGTCGAAGAAGAAAAACCGCATTCGGCGCCACCGGGGGGGGCCGCTGGCCCCCCCTGGCGGCGCCTCCGCCGCCGGCCCTGGGCGAGCGTTGTCCCGACGGCGGGGGCCTTCTCCTCCCCGGAGGCGGAGAGAGCCCCGGGCGCACAGGCACTCGGAGGTGCACGGAGGAGGGCAGCAATACAGGGCCACCGATGATGGCGATGACGATGAGGACAACGATGAGGATGAGGATGAGGGTGAGGGTGAGGGTTGGGAGGATTGATGATGATGAGGATGAGGACGATGGTGAGGGTAAGGGTGAGGATGAGGATGCGGATGAGAACGAGGATGGTGATGGTGATGACGACGACAATGACGATGACGATGACGATGAGGACCAAGATGAGGATGCAGATGCGGATGAGAATGAGAATGTGGATGAGGATGAGGGTGAGGGTGGGGAGGATGGATGATGAGGATGAGGAAGAGGGTGAGGGTGAGGACGAGGATGAGGATGAGGATGAGGACGAGGATGATGATGACGATGAGGAGGAGGAGGAGGAAGAGGAGGATGATGGCGATGATGATGATGCTGATGCTGATGCTGATGCGGATGCTGATGCTGATGATGATGATGATGATGATGATGATGATGATGATGATGATGATGATGATGATGATGATGATGATGATGATGATGATGAGACTTGTCCTCGGCACGTGTAGGAGATGGACCACAGAGGTCCGTTTACGTCTCGCTCAAGCCTTTTCTCTTCAGGAACACCTGAAACGCATGCGCCCCTCAGCCTTCCAGCCGCCATCGTGGTTGCTGGTCTGCATCTGGTGTGCTCTGGACGTGTGGCAGCCTGGGCTGTTACGCACGGGCGGCGGAGACGGCCCACCCGACGATTGGGACCGTCGGGCTCCCCTCGCCGCCCAGCAGGCCGCGGAGCGCGAGGCTGAGCTCGCCGCGGCGCACGCGGGCAACCTCACCGAGTGCTACTCACGGCTGGGGCGGCTCCAGGTCGCGCTAGCCAACTTGTCGTCGGAGCTGGTCGAGCTCCGCGACATCAGGAGCGAGCAGCCCACGGAGCCCGACGCGCTCCTCTGGCACGCCTTCGGGGTGGTGCTGACTGCGGCCTTGACTCAGTGCGCCACCTGCTTCGCCACCTTCCGACATCCTCATGGCCCTGCTGCCCGCGGACTTGAGGCTCCTGTCGAGCGACGGGAGCGTCGCCGCGGCGGAGGCCTTCTTTCGTGAATTGGTACCAGGGAGGGTGGTTTGTTTCTACGACGACGACGACGACCCGAACATATGGCACGAACGGCTGCTCTTGTGGCCATCAGTGGGGGCTTTCCCCAATGCGTGCTGGACGTGCCTCACGCCAGAGGGCGACGTGCACCCCGAGGACATGGCATCGGGTCCAAAATGGAGACGGGCCGAGCCGTGTGTCTTTGACGGTGGGGACGACACCAGCGGCTCTTCGGCCTCCTGGACGTGTCTATAGGTTTCGCAGCCTCCCCGCCGAAGATGATATGATTCAATTATTTCGGGGTGCTCGTGCTGCTGCCCGCGCCGCGGGCCTAGTCCACTCCGAGCCGACCGAATTCATGCGCGGCGGCGACCAGCCTTCCACCAGCATGACGGTCAGTTTCTCCGACGTGCCAGGCTTCGCCCGTCGCGTGTCGCAGAAGAGCCCGTCCGTGCTCGCGCCCCCTGTCGCGCCCAGCGCACAGCTCGACGGCGAGGGGGGGGGCGCTCGCCGACGGCGAAGTGGGGGGCGCAGAGACCCCAAGGGGCGGCCCCGGCCCGACGGTGCTCGCTCACGAGAGCGCCGCCCATTCCAGGGTCCGCCTGGTTCACTGTGAAGACGATCCCGAACGAGTGCCAGCAGCTAGACGAGGTCATCCCGAAGGCCGGCGACGTCGTCTGGGGTGAGAGCGGGCTCTACCGCACAGCGGGCGGCTTTGTCGCGCCGATCGAGCTCCACCCCGTCCCGTTGCTGGGCGACGTGCTGGACAAGCTGGGCGACGACGACGCTCGCATTCTCGGCCCGTTCCAGCGAACGCGGGAGGGCCGCAGGCACCGCGACTTCCGCGATGCCGTCGCGGAGCAGCACGACGACTTCCCGTTCGTAGGCGAACGCAGTTTGAAGTGGCTGTGCGAGTACATTGTCGACCACGGTGGCACGCCCGACGGCCGCCGCACCAAGTGGATGATGGAGAGCGGCCGCGCCAGGGACTCAGCGGCCGCCCACCTCCACGACCTCCGAGGGCTTCTCGATCGAGCTCGGGGTCACCTACGATCAGGCGGACGGCTCGAACCTTGCCTGCGTGGGGGTGGCGTCGAGGGCCTACCAGCTGATCGAGGAGACCATGGGGGGCATGGAGATTGAGGGCGTCGAGCACTACACCGGCCGCCAGAACCAGAGCGCCCGCCGCGGCGTCGCCATGGCGCCAGGCATCGCCAAGTACGCCACCGACCAGCTGGCCAAGGAGACGGAGATCCAGAAGCAGCGTCGCAAGGCGCACGAGGAGAAGACCGCCCAGTCGGGCAAGAAGAATCAGGGGTGACCTGGGGGCGGGGTCTGGAGAGTGGCCCGTCCCGATCGCCGCGATTCCAGAGCCGGTTTTGCGGGCGTGCTGATGTCCAACCTTCCGGCGATGGCACGTTGCCGTTCGCGGTGCCCGCGTCGCCGATTGCCCCGCCTCCCCCGCCTGAACTATCCCGCGCAGTTCGGGCTCGCTTGTCTCGCACCCAGTTGATCGAGGAGCGTACTCGGGACACCGCGGAGCGCCTCGACTTGCTTGGGAGCCACGCCGCACCGCGGGTCATGCCAGAGCGCCCCTCGCAGCTGGGCGGTTTGTTACTTCGACGAGTTCGAGGGCTGCGTCGCAAGATGGCCGCCCCTCCGAGCACGTCGGCCCAGGAAGCCTGCTCAGAGCTTTTGGGCCGCCCGCGTCTCCACTGCGACGCGACTAATGACTTGCCGCTGAGGCCCTACGGTCCGCGCTTCGCGAGCTGGCCCGAGCTGGGAAACGAGCCACAGTGGCTCGCGGGTCGGCTCGGCGCTGGCGACCGATGCTCTCTCTTGGACCTCGACCATGCTTCGCTGCTGCCGCCGCCGAGCTTCGGCGAGGCCGTGGAGACAGAGGGGGGGGCCCACGTTGTACATGGACCCTGTGCTGGAGCGGAACAGGCCGCTCTACCTTGAATTCATCAAGTTTGGCATCTCGCGGGGCGTCTTCACCTTGGGCAAAGAACGGGTCGAGGACGTCTCCGCCTTCTTCGTGGCTAAGAAGGGCGAGCGGATCAGGAGTGCGCTGGACTGCAGGCGTAGCAACCAACGGTTTCAGCCCCCCCCCCCCCCCCCTTCCGTCAACCTGTTCTCCGCCGCGGGGTTCGCGGACCTCGAGGTGCCGAAAGACGCGCCCCTCTACTTTGCGGGGGTTGACGTCCAGAGCGCGTTCTACCAGCATAAGTTGCCAGCGTACTTGCGGTCGCACTTCTGCATGCCGAAGGTCACCGCGGGCGAGCTTGGCGTCAGCAGGCTCGACGGGCGGCGCGTCCCGCCCCGGGCCTGCCTCTACCCACAACTTGCCGTCGTTCCCATGGGGTGGAGCTGGGCACTCTTCTTTGCGCAGAAGGCCCACGAGCGGACGTTGGGCCAGTCCGACGCCCTGAGGCTTGAGCTGCGGGCGGTCGACTTCGCGCCGACCCCGTGCCCGCTCAAGGAACCCACCCACCCGATGTGCGCGGACAACGTCCTCGCGGTCGGCACTGACCGCGCGGCCGTGACCGAGGTCAGGCGCGCGGCCTCCCAGGCCCTGGAGGGCGCAGGCCTGGCCGTCCATGAGGGGGCCGACGCGGCCGAGAGCATGATGATGCTTGGCGTGCAGCTCGAGGGGCGCTCCGCCCGCGCCACCTTGGCGCCGCGGCGTTTCTGGAAGCTCTACATGGGGCTCGGTCACCTGGCGCAGCGCCGGCCCCGCGTCACCAGCCGCGACATCGAGCGCGTCATCGGCCACTGCACCTTCGCCGCGCTGTGCAGGCGCGAGAGCTTGAGCTGCTTCAGCGCCGTGTACTCTTTTGTTCAGCAGAGGTACCAGCGCGCCAGGCCTCTGTGGGCGTCCGCGCGGTGCGAGCTCAGGATTTTCCGAAGGCTGCTGATCGCGCTCAGCTCGGACCTCGACGCTGAGTGGTCCACGAAGGTCGTCATGACTGACGCTTGCGAGACGGGCCGCGCCTCCGTCGTGGGCGAGTGGGAGCTGTCGGAGGTGCAGCGCGCTGGTCGGCGGCACGAGCGGCGGCGCTTCCGCCACGCGCGCGAGGACGACGGGGGCTGGAGGCCGCGCGACCGCGCGGCACGAGCGGCTGAGGCCGCCGAGCTCGATGCACACCCGTCTGTTCTGTTGCAAGGGGGTCTCGCCAACAAAAGATTCCCTGAAGTGTCGACGCGCGCCATCCGCCGCACCACCTGGACGGCCATGCACTATTCGCCGCGTTTCGGGAAGGGGCCCATGCATCGGAAGGAAGCAAGATGAGACTCACACGCTGTGAAGCTGATCCTGTCGGACGCGGACTCCCGGGGGAAGAGGCGCGTGGTCTTGGGGGGCGATCTCGCACTAACTAACACTTGCACTATCTAAGGGACGTTGCCGTGATATATATATATATATAAAGCCCGCATACACCGGTGATGGGTTCCCAGCGAGTTCAATGCGGCGGACCGTGACAGTCGCGCCCGCGAGGGCGCTGGCGGCCGCGCTGCACCTGGGGCCATCTGGCGCGCTACCGCAGCGCGCGGGCGTCAGCTTCGGCACCGCCGCTGCTCGGCGCCGGGCCCCGAGGGCGACAGTCGGGCCGGCGCCAGCTGGTCTGCGGCCCTGGCGGGCACGCCTGGGCTCTGCCGCCCCGCAGCCAGCCCGCCCCCCGCGGGCCCGTGGCCCAGCGGCGCCCCTGGCGACAAGGCGGCTGAAGCGCAGCGAGCCGGGGCGCCCCCCGGCGACGCCGGCCCCCTGCGGCGCCTGGCGCCGCGGACGCTGGCACGCTGTGGCTCGGGCCCTCTGGGCTCGCCGCGCCGCTCCTGGGCTGGGCGCAGCCTGCCGTCGGCGGCGCTGGCGGCCCCGCGCGACATCCCCACGAGCGAGCTGCCTCGCTCGGTGCGGCGCCGCCTGGGCGCTGGGGAGCAGGCTCGGGGCACGACCCGCTAGCTTTCCATCACCGAGGCGGCGGCGGTCGGACGGCGGAGCCGCATGCAGTGCACGCGGCTGCTCGAGCTGTTCCTCCGCCGCAGCCGCCTGAAGTCCCTGGCGGGGCCTGCTGCCGACGCGGGCGCGGCCCCGGCCAAGTTCTTCGACGACCTGTACCTCGAGGGGGAGATCGCGTCCACGGGCGAGAAGGTGCTCGCCGCCATCTTCATGCATGTGCCCGACTACCAGAGCAAGGGGAAGCTGGCCCTGCCGCGCGCCTACCGCGCGCTGCGCGGCTGGCGTCTTCTGCGGCCGTCGCGGACGCGGCGGCCTCTGCCGCGGGCTACCTGCATGGGCGTGGCGCGGCAGCTGTGGCGGCTCAGCGGCCGCCCCGATCTCGCAGTGCTCCGGCTGCTGATGGTGGACGCCTACCTACGGCCTGGCGAGGCGTTCCGCTTGACGCGTGGCCAGATCATCCCACCGCGGGCACGAATGCCGAAGGTGACGATCCATATCAACCCCGATTACATGAAGAGGCCCAGCAAGACTGGCGAGATGGACGAGCCCGTGGACGCGGCGCGGCCCTGGCGGGACAGCCTGCTGGTTCGGCTGGCCCAAGGCCCGCCCAGCAGCTCCCTGTGGAGCTTCACCGCGGCGGAGGCCAAGGACATGTTCGAGCGCGCGGTGCGCGAGCTGAACCTGGACGGGATGATGCCTGTGCTCTACACCGCCCGACACAGCCGCGCGTCCAACGACCGCTTCACGGGGGGGATCGCACTGCAAGAGGTCCAGCGGCGCGGCAGGTGGCGCCAGCCCAGCTCGGTCAGACGATACGAGAAGCGCGGGCTCATCCAGACGGTGTGGAGCCAGATGGAGCCCTCGGCCAGGACCTACTGCCTGAGGGCCGAGGCCGAGCTGCCCTCGCTGCTCGCCGCCGCCTCGCCATCCGCCAACGTTTGAATGATCCCCGAGCTAAGAGAGACGAGTTTGTCTGTATTGAAATCTTCTCGGGCTCTGAGCATTTCTCGAGTTCCCTTCGCCGCCGTTGGTTCAGAGTACATTATTTTGATGTGCTCCAAGGGCCCTCAGGTGACCTCCTGAGGCCCGCGGTTCAGACACGCATCTTCCGAATGCTCAAGTCCAATAGATGTCTCGGGTTGTTAGCTAGCGTTCCGTGCAAGTCGTTCTCCATTGCCCGTGGGGGCCATAATGCCATGAGATCCTCGCAGGCTCCCTCTGGCCTCCCCTTTCTCCCTCCCCATCTGCAGAGCCTCGTAGATGAAGGCGACAAGCTGTTTGGTGTCCACTAAGATATTTAGATGTTGTAAACAGGTGCGGTTTCTTTTTGTGTGAGAGAGTTTTCAGTCATCCTACATGTGGAGAGTGGAAGCTGCCGTTCGGGTTGTTCGCTGGCCCAGGGTCCGCGATGTTATAACGAATTATTGTGGTTGGGGCACTCCCTGGTGAAAACCAACCTAGGCTGAGGTGCTACCTGTTGCCGCGAACCGACGAGTTGTGTAAGCGTTGTAAAGCTGTCCGTTTGCTCATTATCTGGGAAGAAACAGCAGATTCTCCAGGGCCGCGGCCTGGGCGTTCATTGGACCGTTCGTGCCGCCGCCTACCCAAAGTTGTTGGCTAATCGAATGGCCGATGTTTTTCACGATGCTGCCTTCGATCGCGTCTTGCGGCGAACCTCCCGCCTGCACCCGTTCCGTGCAAGTGACCTTGAACCGCCCTGAAGGCAGAGAGCCGAGAGCGACTTTTGGTGCCTCGATGTTCGGCACGGATATGTGAAGTACGTTGTGTGTATCACGCCGGCGTTTGTTCAGGTTTGTGCTGTCTCTGCAAGGTCACCACATGCGGATGACAAACATGAGAGTTCTGTAAAATAAAGACGGTGGGGAATCTCCGACTTGTCCTAGGAACGTGTAGGAGATGAAACGCAGAGGTCCGTTTACGTTTCGCTCAAGCCTCCCTCCCTGTGTGAACTGGTGCACAACCTACCCGCCCTGGCTTACGGCGGGCCGCAAGCAATTGCATTAACGGCACGGATCTGTGAAGTACGTTGTGTCTACCACGCCGGCGTGTGTTCAGGTATGTGTTGTCTGTGCAAGGTCCCCACATGCGGATGACAAACATGTGAGTTCTGTAAAATAAAGACGGTGGGGAATCTCCTGATTATGATGATGATGATGGTAATGATAATAGTTGATGGTGATGTTGATGGTGATGATAATGGTGATGATGATGGTGGTGGTGATGGGGACGAGGATGAGCATGGAAATCAAGATGCTAATATCATGATGATGATGGTGATGGTGGTGATGATGATGATGATGAAGGCAACGTGGACGACGACGAAAACGATGATGACGATTACGATGATGATAGTGATGATGATGATGATGATGATGATGATGATGATGATGATGACGATGACGATGGTGATATTGATGATGACGATGATGCTGATGCTGATTTTGGTGGTGATGATGATGAGGAAGAGGAAGCGGAGGACGAGTATGAAGATAAGGATGAGGACGAGGACGACGATGACGGTGAGGATGACGACGACGATGATGACCACGATTGCCATGACGATCTCGATGATGTTGACGAGGATGATGATGACGAGGATGAGGATGATGATGCAGATGCTGAGGATGAGGATGAGGATGGTAATGATGAGGACGAGGTTGAGGATGATGTTGATGATGACGACGACGAAGTCGACGATGATGATGATGATCATGATCACAATCATAAGCATTATCATCATCATGAGGATCATGAGTAAGATGACGGGGATGAACATGATGCTGATGCTGATGGTGATGGTGATGGTGCATGATTATTCCTAATGTGTGAATGATGACGATAACGATGACGATTCGGGTGGTGTTGATGATGATGATGCTGTCGATGACGATGGCCATGACGGTGATGAAGCTGAAGAAGGAGATGATGATGTTGGTGTTGCTGGTGATGATGGTGATGATGATGATACTGATGATGATGATCATGCTGGTGGTGCTGATGATGCAGGTGGTGGTGGTGGTGGTTGTGTTGATGATGTTGATGACAATGGTGATGATGATGATGATGATGATGATGATGATGATGATGATGATGATGATGATGATGATGATGACGACCATGGTGATGATCATTCGTGACGATGATGGCGATGACGATGACAGCAGGTGCACGGAGGAGGGAACAGTACAGGTCCACTTCGTTTCCTATCCCCCCTCTCCCGGGACAGGGGAAACCAAGCAGAGGAGGAGGTGGGAGGGATACGGAAGGAGGTGGGCCTGCATATCTGTTCGACCCCGGTGTGCCGGGCCCCCACGCGTCCGAGGAGGGGGACAGGATTTCTTCAGGCCGCCCTGATTTGGGCGAGGGAAAAGGCGCTGACACCCCCACCCTTGCCTCGTTTTCACTCGTTTTCACGTTTTAGGGCCTTCAGGGAGACCCTCCCTTGCCTCGTTTTCCCTGGTTTTCACGTTTTAGGGCCTTCGGGGAGACCCTCCCTTGCCTCGTTTTCCCGGGTTTTCACGTTTTAGAGCCTTCTGGGAGACCCTCCCTTGCCTCGTTTTCACTGGTTTTCACGTTTTAGGGCCTTCTGGGAGGCCCTCGTCGCCACGGTTGAATCCGCCTCGAGATTCTGGCCGGATCGCGCCCCAGGAGAGGTCCGGGGGCCGGTATCGGTATCCTTCGGATGGGATCCGAGTACAGTCGAGATTGATGATTAGGTCGACTTTGCCCCTTCAAGGGTACCCTTTTGTCGTGTGTTTAGCGACTGATGCCTTCTACATTCCCATGGCAATGTGGCCCTCGGAAGGGTTTTGTACCTTCTCGCGTGTCCTCTCCGATCAAGCTCGCCTGTGGATGCGGCCAGAGGGTCGCGCCGCATCGCCACCACCGGCCCCCAGTCTGGGCCGTCCTGGCCCCAGGTCGGCTTGGCATCGCTCGGATGTGTGCATTTTTTCTTGGCGAGGACCCTCGAGGAGCATCTGGGATCCCCTCGCGAAGAGAACATCGCACGGCACCGAGGCATGCACGGGGCGTGGACGTCCGAGCCATGGCAGGGTTCTCCAATGACACGCCACCGCCAGCCCCTGGGCTCCTCGAGGGTTGAGGATCCAGGAAGAGGAGGAGGCGGAGTCGGGGGGAGGCGACGCGACACCATCACCCTCAGGGGGGCCACCTCCAGCGAGGAGGTCCACGATGCCTCCCCGAACTGGGGATGAGGGACGTTTCGAGCGAGAGGGGGGGGGGGGGCGTACCACCAGGGGGACCTTCTCTGACTGCTCCCGGCTGGTGGTCCTTTGTGGTGTTGGTATCGTTTTTCCGTGTACCTGCGGAAGAGGAGGAGGAGGAGGAGGAGGAGGAGCAGGAGGAGGAGGAGAAGGAGTATCGAGGAGGAGGAGGAGGAGGATCGAGGAGGATCGAGGAGGAGGATGAGAAGGAGGAGGAAAGACTCGTTTCCCGTACTCAGCAGCAGCACGGCCGCGAGCCCAGCCCTCAACCCGCGCTTCCCGGCATTGCCTCCTGGAGGGTCTAGCGACGCTGGTGAACGATGGGGGGCCCCACAGGGGCGATCAATGCGGGGGCGATAAATGCCAGGAGGGAGAAAAAAACACAGACACGATGAATCGTCCATCCCCAGGGAATCATGGGAAGGTATGGGAAGTAAGTGGGAGGGAACACGAGAACCCAGAAAATATCGGAAACTACGGGTGAGCCTGGGCTTTGTGTGTATTTCTGTGTGTGTGTCCCTGGGCCCCCATCAAAATGTCGAAGAAGAAGAAAAAAACACCATAAACATAAACCTTGGCGCTCCGCACGGATTTCTCGGGTTCGCGCTGGGCCTCCCCGGCGGCGCCTCCAGCACCGCCCCTGGCGCGCTGCGCGCGCCAGGGCTGCAGAAAAGGGGCCCTCATGTGGACCCCTGAAGGCGCCCTTTAGGGTCCAAGAGAGGGCCGTTTAGGGGCCCGAAATGTGCCCTTTCTGTCCCCCCCATTCGTCGCCCCCCACCCCCCTTAGCGACGCCCAAGGCTAGCGAAGCTGGTGATCAATAGGGGGCCCCTGACGATCGGTGGGGATTCGAAGTTTTCGAACCTTTTCGTCGCTTCCTCGGGGTCTTCCTGCCTCGGGATGTACTCTGCAGTTGCGCCTCGCCGAGATCGTTCCGGTGCCCGAGTAGCGGCCTGGAGTCGGGGCTCAAGAGACGGGGGTCAATGCAAACGGGGGTCAGCCAGAGAGCCAGATCTTGCAGGATCTTGCAGATCCTGCAAGGTCCGACTGACCCGGGTCTGCATTGACCAAGGTCAGCAGATCTCCGATGGAAACCAGACATCCAGTGGAGTGCCAGTGTGGTGAGTCAGTGGGGAGTCGGGGTCACCGCACGGTGTTGGGCTCTCGCACTCGGGTGGCTCTCCGAGGACGCCTCGGGCGATGGGGACCCCCAAACGGGGCTGGACCTGAACGCCGTTTTGCTGGACTTCGGCTGTGTTTGGTCTCTCGTTGCGGGAGGGAGGTGCACAGAGGGCAGAACCAACAGCAAAACGAACGCAAGACGACAAACAACGTCTGGGGCCCCCACAGCACCGAAGTGGGACCGACCCGTGCGGGGAGGTCGCCGCGGGTTCCGAGGTCCCCGCACGCTCCGTCGCCACATGGTTCAGGAGGGGAAAAAACACACAGACACAATTCATCGGCGACTCCCAGAAAATGTGGGAAGACATGGGAAGTGGGGGGGAAGACAAAAACCCAGAAAATATGGGAGAATATGGGGGATCATTTTAGTTGTGTGTATTTATTTGTGTGTCCCAGTTCCCCTTCAATGGTGCCTCTGGGCCCCCGGGGAGCGAGCCGCCGACGGCCGCCGACGGGCGCCGCCGCACGTGTCGGGCCCTCGAGGAGTCGGCTCCGCGGGCCGCCCCTCCCGGGAGGGCACCAGCGGGGGTCGTAATTCACCACCCACCAAACCACCCCAACCCAACCCGAAGGCTCCAAATTGCCCTCCATTTCCAGTGGGGGGGGGGTCGGGGAATGTTGAGAAAACACATGTGAAACCCTTACCCCCCCCAACCCGAAATTCGGGTCTTCGGGTTGGGTTGGGGTGGTCTGGTAGGTAGTCAGTAATGTCCCAGCCTGTACTTTTTACGGTAGGTTTGCGTCGTGTCGACCAGCGGCGACCCCAGCGCGGGCGTTCAAGGTTGAACGCCGCCGGCGACCCAGAATCGATCGATGTTGAACGGTCGGACGTGGCGGCAGCGGCCGATCGTTCAAGGTTGAACGATCCCTGCGGTGTCAAAAACCAACGCTGGGGTCGGCACGACACGAACCTGCCGTAGCCTTGCTCGCCAGACAGAATGTTTCGAGTGCCAGGAAATGCTGCCCCCAAAAACTCGGGGGTTTTCACGTGCCGGGCCCTGCGAGACGCTCGTCCGACACTGCTGCGACACTCTTTCGACACCTTTCAGGGTGCTCGACATCATGTCTGGGATGTGGTCATTAAGTACGATGGGAGCAACATAAAGCGGGGGGCGATCGCAAACGTGGGTCAATGGGGGCGTCGATTATAGCGACGGGCCCGAGCGAGGCGGCACCAGCAGCGCTTTGGGGAGGGCGCCTCCCCCAAGTCTTGCATGGATCTGACGACCCTGCGCCAAATCCATGGATCGCCAATCCATGTTTGCGCGCCCCGAGGGGATGGGGGACGGGGGCTGGGAGGGTCGGCGGCGAGCGAGGGGAGGAAGCGAGAAGGGGCTGGCCCCCACAGAAGGCTCGGAAGCCCCCCCCGGCCTTCGGAGCAGGTTTGGGAGCCCCTGCCGCAGACACAGAGAGAGCACTTCTCAGCAGGCGCCAGGGCTTCTGACATGTCCCGTCGCCTTCTGAGAAGGCCTTCTCCTTCTCAGTTCCCCCCCTCGCTCGCCACCAAGAAGGGGGCAGTCGAAGCCGGAGCCGCCGCGCAGCGCAGGGAAGGTCTGCTCGAGAGCTCGCGCGGCGAGCACGGCGTGCCCACCCTTCGCGGCTCCACTGCAGCGGGCGAAGATCGGGAAAGCATGCGTACGTGCTCCGCCGTGGGGGGCGCTCGCCCCAGGGCGGCTGGAAAGTTGGCCCCATACCAAGAAGCGCCCTGCTTGCCTCCAGGGTGCCCTGGGTGTTTTGGGCTTCGATGGCTCTTTGCTGTAGAAAGCGTGACGCTCCCGCACCAAAGAATCGATGGGCGTGCTGGGGTCTCACGGTGGGGGTTCTCGTGGAAGGTTTCTGGTGGTCGAGCTTCTGCTGCGCGTCGACGTGCCGCAGGGGAAATCCACTTCCAAGCCGCCCTGGGACAGGCGTCCCCGATGGGTCGGAGGCGTGCAGTTATGCCCATCTTCGCCCGCCAACCAACCCGCGTTTACATCACACGAGGGCCGCGCCGAGCCTGACCTGAACGCCCCGCCCCGCCCCCCCCACGTGCACCCCGCGGCGCGTCGAGCGTCCGTTCTTCTCCACGCCCGGCCACTGCAGAGAAGGAAGCCAGACAAGCGCTCCTTAATCGGTTGCCGTCTCGCCTCTCCTCCGCCCGCGAAGGTGCCCGCTTGCGGCCGCTGCTGCTGCTCCTCCCCCTCTTCCCATCGGGCAGGGCCAGAGAGGAGGGGGAAGCGAGAACGAGGAGGCCTTCTCGGAAGGCGACGGGGCTTCTCAGAAGCCCTGGCGCATTCTGAGAATTGTTCGGCGTCTTCGGGGAAGGCTTCAGACACCTCCGAGCCTCCTGAGAAGGCCCGCCCCTTCTCGCTTCCCCCCCTCGCTCGCCGCCGACTGGAGGAAAGGGGCGGAAGGCGATCTGTTCGTCTACATCCTAGAGTACCTGCGGTCAGGCGCACGCGCGCGCGCCCCCCGCCCAAGGGGGAGCAGGAGCAGCGGGAGCGGCAGCAACGGCACGAGGGTCGAGCAGGCAAATGGAGGGCGAGGGGAATCCCATGGACCTTGCAGGCGGCGGCGGCCTCCTCCTCCTCCTCCCCCTCCTCGTCGGCGTCGTCGTGGTCGTGGTGCGTGTTGCTCTGCTCGGGATTCTGTTTCCCTTATGCAGTGACCACCCACTTGGCTTGCCAGGCATTGCACGCCGCCTGGCTGTCCGTCCGTCCGTCTGTCTGTCTGTCTTCCCGGCTCTCTGAGCCGCGTCGTTTTGAGCTTTTTAGCTCGGGGACGCGTCGGCCACCGCCGCCCTCTCCCTTGTCGGTGGCCCTGACGAGGTTGGGGGAGAGGGTGCCGAAACGCGCCCAGAGTCCAGCAAGGCATGAGGGTGCAAACCCGACTTGTCTGGCTGATGCTTTGGGGGGGCCTGTGCTCAGGGAGGCTGCAGCACCGCTCAACGATGTGCTGTTTAACCGAACCTGCAGGGTGGGCCCTTTCCCAAATCCGTGCTTCGGTGCGGATCGTAAGCGCGCCTCGTCTCCGTCGTCGTCGTCGTCGTCGGCGTCGTCGTGGTCGTGGTGCGTGTTGCTCTGCTCGGGATTCTGTTTCCCTTATGCAGTAGTGACCACCACCACCACCACCCCTCCTCCTCCTCCTCCTCCGCCTCCTCCTCCTCCTCGGAACAGGATGCAGCAAGTACAGGCAGTACGACGAAAAGGACGCAGGACACGGCACGCGCTGAGGTGAACGAGCCCCTTGACGCAGGGGTACCCATAAGCAGCGATGACAAAAGTGGCAGACCCAAAGATGAACCGCAACCAGAAGCTGGGAGGAAAGCGGCAAGGACTGGTAGCACGGCGAAAAAGACTGAAGCTGAACAAAGAGAAGGTACACCACGCACGTCACGCACGCAGAAGAACATAAGACAAAGAGCTGCAGGGGCCTCAGGTCACAGATGCGAATGAGAAAGAGCCCCTTGACGCAGGGAACCCTAGCAGCAGAGAAGACAAAGTGGTAATCCCAAAGCAGAACCAGAAGCAGGAAAGAAAGCGGCAAGGACTGGGAGTACGGCGAAAAGGGCGGAAGAAGAACAAAGAGCAGGTACACCAGGTACGACACGCACGCAGAAGAGTAACGCAAGACAAAGAGCTGAAAAAGAACCCCGTGACACAGGGGCAAGAGTGAACCCCTTGACGCAGGGGCAGAAGGAAAGCAACTAGTCACCAAAGCGGCAAGATCTGGAAGTACGGCGAACAGGACAGAAGCACCCAGAAAAGAGGCAGCACCAAGCACAGCGGTAAGCAGCAAAGAAGGGTACCAAAGAAGAACAGCCAGACAAAGCGAGACCGCGGCAACGAGAGGTGAGCCCCTTGACGCAGGGGAAATGAAGCTACCCCTTGATGTCGGGGAAAGAAAAACAGCGAGAAGAGGAGCCATACCAAAAGAAGAAGATCCGCAAAAGCTGGAAGAACATGAACTTGACCCTGAAGAACGAGCTGAAAGGGAAACTATGCCCCCGCTCTTCCGCATGCTAAAAGCAGCTAAAGAACGAAAGCTAGAGAAACTGAGTCTGGAAAGAAGAGAAGGAAGCGATGATGATAGCAAATCAGCAAAGATCAGCATGATAAAGACGAACAAGGACGAGAGAATGAAATACCAAAGGCATTTCGGAGTACCAGGTCCACAAGTGTTACCTGGACTCTGAGGTGGCGGCGGCCCAGCCCCGCCCCAACCTCACCACGTGAGAAATGAAACTGCTGGAAACAAACTCCTCTTCCTCCTCCTCCTCCTCCTCCCTCTCCTCCTCCTCCTCCTCCCTCTCCTCCTCCTCCTCTCCCTCCTCCTCCTCCTCCTTGTCCTCCTCCTCCTCCTCCTCCTCCTCCTCCTCCTCCTCCTCCTCCTCCTCCTCCTCCTCCTTCCCCCCAGCCTGCGCCATGGGGGTCCCACGTGCTTTCCCGGTGTTTGGTGGCAGGGGGGCAATGCGCGCGGGGTGAAGAGGCGTGCGCCCTTGCTGCACATTCCTGGGCCCGCGGTGGCAAGTTCGGGGCCGTTCAAGGACCCCTCCAGGGCCACTTGTCTGCAATCCTCCACCCCCCTAGGTTTTTTATTGCCCCCACCGCTGCCGTGCGCCCGAGTTTCGCGAATTCCCCCATCTGCCACCAACCTCTTCCGAAGAGATGCTCAGCTCCTCCTCCTCCTCCTCCTCCTCCTCCTCATCCTCCTCTCATCATCATCATCATCATCATCATCATCATCATCATCATCATCATCATCATCATCATCATCCTCTCCTCCTCCTCCTCCTCCTCCTCCTCCTCCTCCTCCTCCTCCTCCTCCCCCTCCTCCTCCTCCTCCTCCCCCTCCTCCTCCTCCCTCCTCCTCCTCCTCCTCCTCCTCCTCCTCCTCCTCCTTCTCCTCCTCCTTCTCCTCCTCCTCCTCCTCCTCCTCCTCCTCCTCTCTCTCCTCTCCGTAGCCGTTTTGGTTCAAGATCTCATGCCGAGGATGCACTCCGCCCCCAGGCCAAAATTGATACCGCTGTCACCGCGGCTCGCTTTCATTTTCTTGCGACGTCTGGTCCGCCCCAGGCCTCGTCTGTCCTCTGCGCCCGCAGGTGAGCAGGTGCTGTGTTGTACGGATAGATCATGGGGGCACGAGAGCAGGCCGCTTGCAAGTGGCATTACAAGAGTTGCAAGGATGCACGGGCAAACAAACGTGGCATATGGCACACGCGAAAAAGTGTGTGCTGTGTGGATTGGCGAAAGGTGCCACGTTCGGGGGAACGCCCAGCCCTCGGAGCCTTCAATCCGCACCAGGCAGTCCAAGCCGTTCCCATGGAGACAAGGGTCTGAGGCGTCACAGGTGCAGGCCAAACGCATTCGAGAACTTGAGGCGCAGGTCCGTGCTCTTCAGTCGGAGGCCCTTCGTGGTGGAGCCCCGCTCGGCGAAGCCATGCTGGTCGACGATGGCACCAAGGAGGACGAGGCTGAGTCACGCCGTCGGCTCAAAGACGTGCAGGCCCTGGGCGAGATGCTGGAGCAGGCCTGGGGGCTGAGCAGGCGCCTGTCTTGGCGAAGGCGTTGGCGTCCAGCGCGGGGCAAGTCTTGCAGTCGGAGCCGAAGGAGGCCGTCAAGCCCGAGGAGATGCCTGCTGCTGTTGCGCCGAAGTCGCTTGTGGGCGTCGGGGGCGAGGCGCCTGCCACAGCCGCGGCCGTGGCCGAGGCGAGCGCTAACACCGCGCTCATGTCCTTGGGTTCCATCGTCGCGGATGCCAAGGAGGAGGAGAAGCTGCGAGCGTCTTTGGAGGCGCTCTACCCGTCGGACATGGTTGACAAGGTGCCTACCGATCTGGAGGGTCTTCGCGCGGCTGCTGGTTGTCTGGTCCTCCTGCGTTCACTTAGAGCTGAGCACCTCTTCGGAAGAGGCGAGTGGCAGATGGGATAATTCGCTAAGCTCGGGCGTACGGCAGCGGGGGGGGCAATAAAACCTAGGGGGGTTGAGGATTGCAGACAAGTGGCCTTGGAGGGGTCCTTGAACGGCCCCGAACTTGCCACCGCGGGCCCCAAAGGTGCAGCAAAGGTGCACGCCTCTTCGCCCCACGCGGACTGCCCTCCTGCCACCGAACATCGGGGAAGCACGCGTGAACCCCACGGCACAGGCTGGGGGGGAGGAGGAGGAGGAGGAGGAGGAGGAGGAGGAGGAGGAGGAGGAGGAGGAGGAGGAGGAGGAGGAGGAGGAGGAGGAGGAGGAGGAGGAGGAGAGGAGGAGGAGGGAGGAGGAGGAGGAGGAGGAGAGGAGGAGGAGGAGGAGCAGGAGGAGGAGGGAGGGAGGGGGAGGGGGAGGGGGAGGGGAGGAAGAGGAGCATGAGGGGGCGGACGGAGGAGGAGGAGGAGGAGGAGGAGGAGGAGGAGGAGGAGGAGGAGGAGGAGGAGGAGGAGGAGGAGGAAGGCGGAGGAGGAGGAAGGCGGAGGGGGGCGCGTTTGGAAATGGACGCGAGGAACCGTATAGTTCCCTTCGCAGGGCTTGCCCGAGCGCGTGTGGGTCTTGCGCGTGTTGCGCCGCAGGCCATTGGATACTGCGAGACCGCGCGGGTGATTTGGAGTTCGTCGACGCGCTGCGGGAGGAGGCGCGGGAGAGAGCGAGGGAGCCCGGGGGGATGGAGCGCAGGAGAGGGCAGCGGGGAGCAGGGACGGCAGAGGGGTGCAGAAGGGCAGGAGGATGCCTGAGGATGGGAGGGAGCATCGGGAGAACAAGGAGCAGGACATCAGAAGACATGGGGATACTTGATACTTGGCGGGTAGCATATACGTATGCGTGTGTATACGCATGTGCGTATATGTGCATATAGACGTGTATATATATGTATATATATATATGTATATATATATGTATATATGTATGTATACCCTGTAACGCCCCTCACGGGGGTAGAAACCAACTGGGTGCAGTTTACTCCGTGGAGCGTCCTGGTGTCTCCTCCTCCACTCGTGTGCTTGCGCCAGGCTCGCAGGTGGTCAGAAAAATGCCCCGAACATCGTGTCGGGACCCTGGTTGTCGTGAAATTCTCCTCGGAAGGGCCTCTTTGTGACGCTCCCGAGAGAGGGGAGGAGGGAGGAGGGAAGGAGGAGGAGGGAGGAGGGAGGAGGACGGATGGGGAGGAGGCGGATCTCGCGCACGGCGCTATCGGAGCCATCGAGGCTACGGATGAGGTAGGCGGAGGAGGAGGAAGAGGCGGAGGAGGAGGAAGAGGGGGAGGTAGGATTAAAAGCAGGACGGATGAGGAGAAGGATGACGACGACGAGCAGGAGGAGGAGAGGGAATGACGCCCGTCCTGGAGCCTCTTGGTGTCGCCTTGGCTCTCCTAGAGCGTGCTGGGGGTCCTGTGGCCTGTTTGGGCTCTTCGGGGCCTCTTGGGGCCTCTTGGAGCCTCCTGGGCCTTCTGGAGCTCCCTGAGTGTAATTCAAAATGGGTCCTCCGGGGGGCTCTTGACATTTCGTGGGCCCTCCCAGGGCCGCCATGGGCCCTCCTGGAGCCTCCGTGGGCCCTCTCAGAACCCTCTCGCGGGGGCGGAATGATGAAAACAATTTCACGCACGGGGGCCTTTCCGTTGAGAAGGGGGGCGCGGTGCAGAGTGGGTCCTCCTGGGGCCCTCCAGAGATCTCCTAGGCACTCCCGAGGCCGCCATGGGCCCTCCTGGAGCCTCTGGGGGCCTCTAAGAAGCCTCTCGCGGGAGCTGAAAAATGACGACAGTTTCACGGATGGGAGCCTTTCCGTTGAGAAGGGGAGCGCGGTGAAGGTAATAAATGACGACAGTGTCGCACTTGAGGCCCCAAATCGTCCCCGGGCACCCGGGCGAGAAACCCCTTCCCGCATAGTACGGTGCGATTTCCCCTCCCCCCGCTGACCCGCCGGACCCCGGGAGGGTGATTTTTGTGGTTTTCGCTTGTAAGAAACACTTCCCCCCCCCTCTCGACGGTGACGGAGGGCAGGCGGCGGGGGGAGGCGGGGTGGCGGGTTGGCTGGGGTTGCGGGGTGGCTGGTTGGGCTGGTTGAGCCGGTTGAGTTGTTTGGGTGGCTGGTTGGTTGGGCTGGCTGGTTGGGCTGGCTAGGGCAATTGGTTTCGAGATATATATATATATATACATATCATATATCATATATCATATACTGGGGTACCGGGGGCCAGGGCCCCGGGCCGGGACACCCTCCCGAATTTCCCCCCCCCCCCCGTAACCCACTTTGCCCCCGAGCGTCCGGAGGCACTTTTGCGCCCCCAGAGGCGTCCACCACGGCTTCAGGGGACGGCAAGAAGCCGCCAAGACGGCCCAAGAGCGCTCCAAGACTCTCAAGATAGCCCCATCAAGGCCCAAGGGGCCCACATGAAGCCCCAGGGGCGCTCCGAGAGGCTTTCCAAGAGAGCACCAAGAGGCTAAAATCATAGATGTTCATTGTGTTTTTCAATGTTTTTTGCTTGCCCGCGTTTTCGGGCTTCTGACCTCCCAAGATTGCCGAGGAAGCCTCGAACATCGCCCCAAGACGGCCCAAAAGGCCCCCGAGAGGCCCCCAAGACAGCCCAAGAGGGCGCCCAAACGGTCCAAGGGGCGCCCAAGACGGCCCAAGAGGGCTTCAAGACGGCCCCAAGAGGTGCCAAACAGGGGGAACACGAACCGACAATGGAGATTTCCGCCCCAATAGGCCCCCAAGAGTCCCCAAGAGGCTTAAAAATGCCCCCATCAGAGACCCCAAAGAGGCCCCAAGATGCCCCAAAACGGCCCAGAAGGGTCGGCCTGTGGGGCTCATCGAACCCCCCGAAGCCGGCCCAGGAGGCCCCGAAGCCGGCCCAGGAGGCCCAACCAGACGGCCTCAGGGAGGCCCAAGAGGGCCCCGTTCGAAATCATGTTCCCGGAAGCCTCTCCGGGAACATGACTTCCAGGTTCCGAGGACGCCCTAGAGGGCCCCAGGACAGCCTCAGCGAGGCCCAAGAGGGCCCGCGATGGCTTCAAGATGGCCGAAGGGGGCCCCAAGAGGGCCTTCAAGAGGCAAAAATCAGCCCGTCACCGTAGTAAAACGTACGAACTCGGCGCGAGACAACTGGCTACCGCAGCTGCCGTCCCTTCGTGCTGGGCGAGTGCGAACCTGGCGTTCAGTTTGGACGGGACGTGTCGGGTCTGTTGCCAATCGGGGCTGCGCCAGGTTAGGCCACCCCCAAGGTCAGGTTCGGGAATGGGTCGTAGCAACACGACGACGACGACGACGACGGCACGCCCCACAGGCTCCCCAAGACGCCCCAAACCCATGCTCCCAGAAGGCCTTCTGGGAACCTGATTCATACGGCCTCCGCCCCCTACACAACAATTTTCCTCGAAGGCCTTTCGGAATGCAGATTGGTATGCGTGGACTGTGGTCCACTACTTTAGTGGAGCAGTGAATTCGTCAAGGCCTGCAGGGGCCTGCTAGAACCTGAGTGCGCGCGAAGCGCGCGCGATGGTTCTAGTGTAGGATATGGCATAGCACACATAAGTAGACATATAGACATGTATAGAGGGATGGCCAGGGATTCAGAGAGAGAGAGAAAGAGAGAGAGAGAGAGAGAGCGAGACAGACAGTGCAACAGAGATAGAGAGAGTGCGAGAGCGTGTGCGAGAGAGGCAGGGGAATGTTGAGAGGGAAAGATCTGGGTAAAAATGTAGCGCAAGGGCATTCACCTGTGTGTTTAAGTTTACGTGGCGGTGCGTCACAAAAGATGGAGAGAGAGAGAGAGAGCGCGAGAAAGAGAGAGAGAGAGACAGATAGAGTCAGTGATAGAGCGAGCGATAGCCCAGAAGGCCCAGAAAGCCTAGGCACCGTAAGGGCTCAGGGCACAGACGAGTATATACAGAGGGAAGGGGAATTGGGGAGAAGAGTTGGCATCAGAGGTCAGCGTTGATAGGTATTGCAACTAGCGAGAAAAGGCCCTCGACTCTTAGGGCTACAAGGCATTTTCGGGGCCATGATGAGGGATCGGGCTGGTCCACTTTCGAATTCGCCATAGGGGGGTGGAAGCGGCATGGAAAATTTAGGACTGTCACATATCATGTCTGCAACCCCGTGAGAGATCGGTGGTCCAGTCTGTGTTGCCACACATCGTTTCACCTCTTCCTGCAAACTTGGACGGGCGCGGGCAGAACACCCGTCTGCAGCGCGCGCGGCGATGCGACACCCGACCAGAGCGTTGACAGCGATGGCAAGCGCGGTGAGATTGAGAGGGATTCACGTGGCACTGGATTCATCAATGTATGGTTTAGCACGTCAAGGGTCGCAGTTTAAGCAAGCACACCTTTGCGATTGCGATCGTTTGGTCGCGCTATCGGCCGAGCTCCTACTTGTCATCTCCTTCTGCCCTCATCCGCGCCCCTCCCCCCCGGGGTGAGTCTCCCTGCTCGCCTGGGTCCAGCTGGGCCGGTTTCTGCGCGCACTCATCGGAGTTGCGGTCTTTTCGGTTCGTATGTTTTCCGTTCGTTGTGGTTTGGGTTCCATTTCTTCTTGTCTCTCGTGTATTGTTTTTTTGTTTCTCTCTCTCTCTCTCTTTCTCTCCCTCTCTCTTTCTGTCTGTCTCCCTTCATTCCTTCCACCCGGCCGCCTGGAGGACGAGGAGGCGGAGGAATGGAGGACGTCGGCGCCAGGGCCCCATGTTCCGTCTGCCCGCTGGCTTCGCAGGCGCAGCCGGCTGGAAAGGCCACGGAAGCTGCGCTTCAGTGGTTGGTCGATGGCTACTTCCGCGGTGTGGCTGAGCGGCGGCAAGCGTCTGTCCGCGGCGGCGGCCGCCCCTCCCAATTGTACCGTCCTGTCGTCGGGCGGTGGTTGCACCGCCAGGAGCCGTTAGGGGACGGTCTGCCACACCCTGCCCTCTGATGAGTCCTCGCATCTCCTCCTCCTCTTCCCCCTTCCTCCTCCTCGTCCTTCCCCTCCTCCTCCTCCTCCTCCTCCTCCTCCTCCTCCTGTTCCTCTTCCTCCCCCTCCTCCCCCCTTCTCTCTCCCACTCCCGCTCCTGCCCCTTCCCCACCCCCTCCTCCATCTCCTCCTCCTCCTCCTCCTCCTCCTCCTCATCCTCATCCTCATCCTCATCCTCATCCTCATCCTCCTCATCCTCCTCATCCTCCTCCTCGTCCTCCTCCTCCTCCGTCTCCATCTCCTCCTCCTCCTCCTCTTCCTCCTCCTCCTCCTCCTCCTCGTCCCCCTCCTGCCCCTCCCCCTCGGCCGTCGCGCTGTGCAGCTGTTCAGTTCGCAGCGACAGGGCCTGATCTGGGCGCGCGGGTGCGTGACGCGTCGCTCCAAGGGGAAGGCGACCTTCGGGCGGCAAAGCTGGCACGCACGCCTCGGGCGTCGTCGCCCCGAGTGGGACGTGCAGCCCGTGGTCTCCGAGCCGCTCTGGACGTGCAGGTTGCTCGCGGGGTCGACTGCGAAGCGCTCTTTGAGGTGTGTATGTGTGTGAGAGAGAGAGAGAGAGAGAGAGAGAGAGGCAGAGGCTGGTCGCGCCATGATTGCGGACGCTGTGCAGACTGCGTTGCGTGCGCATGCTCTGCGCTGATGATCCACCCTTCGTCAAACCAGATGGACAGTAGGAGAGAGACAGAGAGAGAGAGAGAGAACGACATATAGAGAGAGCACTAAGTGCCTGACAGATTTGCAAATTGCGACATTCGCCCGTGGATACGGAATTTAGTAAGCCGCCTTAACACACGCGCCACCTGCTTCACAGGACTGGTGCGTACGTACAGTACGTTGCGGGGCTGGATGCGGGTACTCCGCTACTCCGCCGTGCATCCCAGGAGCCCACGAGAGTGGCGACACGAATTGCACAGTTTGCAGCCACCCGAGGAGATGCGAGGTCTCGGGTACTTTGCTAATTACTCCGCCGTGCCTCCCAGGAGCCCACGGAAGTGGCGACAGTTGCACAGGTCGCATCCACCCTAAGGAGGTGCGAGGTCCCATCTGGATGCGCGTACTCCGCTACTCCGCCATGCCTTCCGAGAGCCCACGGAAGTGTCAACAGTTTCGTATTTCGCAGCCACCCAGAAGTGGCGACAGTTGCACAGTTCGCAGCCACCCAAGGAGCTACGATGTCCCGTCTGTGATTTCTGAGCTCCTGAGGCCTGGAAAAAGTTTAGAGGCCTAAGTTGGCCACAGTCGTTTCAGTCGCTTCGGCTTGCGATCGCGTTTCGTTCCGCAGCCGGCTTGGGTCAGATGTGCGCGCAGCGGAAAAGAGTCCGCGATTTTTATTTCCATTGTTCTTGTTGTCTCAGTTGGCAGCGGCGCCGTGGTTTTCCCCACGGTAGCTGCGCACCCGCTACAGTTTCAGATCGTTGCCGACATGCCAGCGTTTCCACAAGGGGTTCGAGGAGAGCCAGACGAGAGTGATGATGGAGAGCCGCCCCGAGTTCGAACACGAGTTGATCGAGACCCGCCGCCGCTCTTCACGGAACCGACGGATGACTACTTGCACCGCCATTTCAAGACAGACCTGCTGTTCTGGGAGGCCAACACCACCATCGAAGACAAAAAAATTGGCTGTGTGGTTCTTAGGAACCTGCGGGGCCAGGCTCGACCCGCGTGTGAGGAGATTGTTAACGAGGCCCTGGCGGGCGAGAGCGCGGTCGAGCTGATTCAACAGACCCTGGACAACGCGCTTCAGTATCCCAAAGAGGAAGAGGTTCCCCAGGCGCTCGAGAAAGTTGTCTACACGTGTGTGCGCGAGCCCAAGAAGGAGAGGTTCACATGTTTCGTGAATAAACAACGGTTCGAGTTCATCGCGCTAGAGAGGCTGAAGGTCGCACTGCCAGACATGCTCAGGGGTGAGACTACGTTGCGCTTCGCGAGGCTCGGCGAGAGGTCCTACGACAAGGTGGTCAGCTGGACCGAGCTGGACCGACGGCGGCTGCAGCTTCGAACAGGTCGCGAAGGCGTTCGTTTGACTGGGTCGACAAGACCGGCGAGCTGGACTACCGCGACCAATTGCAGGGTTGGCATCGCTATCTTTCTCCGGGGATTACGGCGACAAAAACACAGCACCCCCGCCGCCGCCGCCGATCGACCTGGCCACAACGAACACGACAGACGAGCTCGGCTCGTTCGCAATAGAGGCGATCGGCAACGAGGACGACGGCTGCGAGGACGGCGAAGGCACGCTGCAGCCTCCATCTTCGGAGGCGGCCGAGGGCGTGCACTACCTCAACGCGGAGTGGCTCGACGGCGCGATCGAGGAGGAGGAGGACCTGTTGCTGTGGGTATTGTTGGACATGCGGCCGAGGATGAGCTACCCGGTCGACTACAAGTAGGTCCGCAACCAGCTGAACGAGGCGCAGGAGGCCAGAGGTTTCTTCAAGTCGACCGGCAAGCACGGCTACGACAGGCGGGACAAAGGTAACGGCAGGGGCAAGGGCGAGCAGAGTCAACGGAGGCGCATCTCGATAGACCAGATCAAGCTTAGGACGAAGTGCGCGAAGTGCAAGCAGGTTGGCCATCGGGCGCGTGAGCGCCCGCAGAATTGACAGCAGCAACGGCCCGACCTTGAAGGATTCACTATGCATGCGGCAGGCGGCATCAGCAACAACCAGACGTTCAACATCAACGAGCCGACGCCAGCTGCCTCGACTATTGGAGGTGCCGTGAAGCTCTTCGCCGAGGTGATCGCTATGTTCATCGGGATCGCCATCAATGCGCGGGGGGTTCTTTTGGGCACAGGCGCCCAGGAGGGCACCCTCGGCGTGGAGCAGCTAAAAGTCGGAGGTGAGGGGGTGAGATCGAAGTGGAACGGAGAGCCCCCCTACCGGGAAATCGATTTCGGTTTCGTGTTCGTGCGTGCCGCGCGCGCGGGCGAGGCGAAGCTGCGTGGGCGGGCGAGAGGAAAGTCCCCTGTGGCTGAGGCGCGGCCGGACCAAATGATTCTCCACCGGGCGGCCGGTGGCGCGCGGTGCCCCGCCGGCGCCCCGGTGGCGCCCTCTGTGGCTGAGGCGCGGCCGGACCACATGATTCTCCACCGGGCGGCCGGTGGCGCGCGGTGCCCCGCAAGCGTCAAGTCGGTGTCCCGCCGGTGTCCCGATCATGATGTTGATGATGATTATGATGATGATGGCGATGATGATGGCAATGATGATGATGATGTTGATGATGGCGATGATGGTGACGTTGATGATGCTGATGTTATGATGATGACGTCGATTGCGAGATCGATTGTGATCGGTAGTGAGACCGAATGTGAGACCGAATGTGAGATCGATTGTGAGATCGATTGTGAGATCGATAGTGAAATCGATAGTGAGACCGAATGTGAGATTGATGCTGAGATCGATTGCGAGAGCGATAGTGAGATCGATAGTGATATCGATAGTCATATCGATTGTGAGATCGATCGAATGAGACCGATAGTGATATCGATAGTGATATCGATAGTGAGACCGAATGTGGGGTCGATTGTGATATCGATTGAGATATCGATAGTAAATTCGATAGTGAGACCGAATGTGAGATTGATTGCGAGATCGATTGCGAGATCGATGGTGCGATCGATAGTGAGACCGAATGTGAGATAGATTGTGAGATCGATTGTGATATTGATAGTTAGATCGATGGTGAGACCGATTTTGAGATCGATTGTGAGATCGATAGTGAGAGCGATAGTGAGATCGATAGTGAGATCGATAGTCATATCGATTGTGAGATTGATCGACTGACCGAATGGGAGATCGATAGTGAGATCGATAGTGAGTCCGAATGTGAGACCGATTGTGATATCGATTGTGAGATCGATAGTGAGATCGATAGTGAGACCGAATGTGAGATCGATTGCGAGATCGATAGTGAGATCGATGGTGAGACCGAATGTGAGATCGATTGTGAGATCGATAGTGAAATCGATGGTGAGACCGAATGGGAGATCGATAGTGAGATCGATAGTGAGACCATATGTGAGATCGATTGTGAGCTCGATTGTGATATCGATAGTGAGATCGATAGTGGGACCGAATGTGAGATCGATTGTTAGATCGATAGTGAGATCGATAGTGAGACCGAATGTGAGATC